GTATAAGAGAGAGAGAGAAAGAGAGAGACAGACAGACAGACAGACAGACCAGGGCCAGGAAGGGACAGATGGGTGCACATTTTAAACACAAGCAAATATACTGATAATAAGAATCCAAAAGGAAGATAATCTAATTGGCAGATTTCATAAACAGATTTTGGCCTTTCATAAATGTGCTTCCTCAACTTTTCTCTTTAGTCCTGTTCTTCCCAAAATGATAGCCACTAATCACTTATGGCTATTTAAACTGTTTAAGTTAAAATTTCAGTTCCTCATTTCAAGTGCTCCATAGCTCCACGTGGCTAGTGGCTAACACAATGGACAATGCAGGGTTAGAACAGCTCCTCGACCTCAGAAATTTCTATTGGACTGCACTGCTCTAGACCATGGCCTTTCAAAAGTATTTAAATTAACTACTAGTTTTCCTGAAATGTATTTGTATTATAATGGAATAATGTATTCATCCTCTTTGTTCTTTCTTCTCCAGAGTAAGCACCTACATGCATACACGCACACACATACCGTGAAAAGCATAAATCAAAAATGGAATCCGACACGCACAGAACCATAGGCATTTATTACAAATCCCTAGAAATTCAACATAACAGGTGAGTATCTTCTTTTTCAATTGTTTTTCCTGACGCAACAATACATTAAGCATTTTCAATAAACACATTTCACAGAGGAGTTTCACAGACAGACAGACTGAGGCCTAATGTGAGAAACAGTTATATGAGAAATGTCAGTTACTCCAGTGTGTCTCTCTGAAGATTCTCAACAGCCAAAGCTCAGTCTGCTTCCTTTGCATATACTTCCAGAGATAGCATTTCCTTTGCTCTTTCTGACAGGTGTCAAAACCTGTCCTGGGCTATGTCAACTGCTGGCTGAGAAATCAACCGTGGATCAGATACCTTCTACTAGATGTGCACTATATGTATATGCAGGTGGATATTTCACTTGACTCAATTATTCATCACACTATTTGGGCATCCAAGCACACTTGAATATCCTGTTTTATACTGCTTTTCTGCCAAGGAGCCAAATGAAAACTCTTCAAAAAAGTATCTTCTTCAGTTCCTCCCTCTCTTGGCTACAAAAATCATTACTGATACTTATTTGCATGTGCTTAATAATGTCATGTTCATATATGCATCCAGAGTGAACTTTAGAAACTCAAAAATAACCTGAATAATAGGACATACATTTTGAAGGGGCAGGAAAGATGATAACCATGGCTGAAGAATCCAAGAAGAATTCCGCTTTCCCAACTTCCTACAGAGTAAGACTGGATTTTTCTGGCACATGACTCCCAGTGAAGTTCTGTACAGCATTTGGGGAACTTGTAAGGGCAAAGATAATCAATAGTACTTGACAAATTTGAATTGTATTTCCTGATGGTTTTTTTTTTAGACTTTCCCTTTTTCGTCCATTGTGTTGGCCTCACTGTACCCAGCAAGATAAAAAATATGTGCAGCTACTAACAAAAGAGAAAAGGCTCCATAATTCACTGGAATTATTGTCTGATTTATTAAGACTGTTCCCACCAGCTCCTGTCCAATGACTCACATGATTATTCTCTTAAAATGCTTAAGTACTTCTCAAGCTCTCCCATCCGTCATTCAAGAAACTCATGAAATTCAACATCCTCCAAGAAGTCTTTGTTTTAGTCAATGGGTTTAGTGAATTGATTGTCTTCATCCCATTCCCACTTTCTGTCATTTCCATTCAGATCACAAGTCAAATATCATATCCGTAATGAGGTCCTGCTAGGTCATCCCATGTGTAACCAGCTGTCACTAACTCACTGTCACATCATCATCCTTAAATTTCATAATAGCAGTTACAACCAAGAGAAGTTATTGTTATATGTTTATAATATTTATTTTTTTAATGCATGCTTCTCTAAATAGAATTTGAGCTTCATGAGAGCAAGGCTTTTTCTGTTTTGCTTACCACACTGTGCCTGGTACATTACAGGCAGTCAAACATGCATTGAATGTAATCCACTGAGTCTCTAGATCTAAATTCCAGTGCATAGGAAATTCAGGGGACACTGTTATATATTAAATGACACCAAGAGGAATCAGTCAATCAAATAAAAAATATGGGAGATTATACATCATAACTAGCTTGAAATCCTCAAAAAGTCAATGTTATGGAGGAAGAAAAGTAGAGGAATAATTCTAGATTAAAAGAAACCAAAGAAGCACAAAACCAAAATAATATGCATGAATTTTGATTGGATCCTCATATGGGAAAAAAATTACAAAAAGTGTATTCTTTAGAAAAATGCAGATATTTGAGAATGATTTAGATATTTGATGATTTACGGAGTTATTATTTCCTTAGAATAATAATGACATTGTGGTAATTTAGGCAAATGTCCTTACTCTTAAGAGATCGATTCTGAATTATTGATGGGTAAATTTTTTAAATATCTACAACTTATACTTTCAAATGGAATGGAAAAACAGTGTGTATGTATCAAGGGAGGTGGGTGTGTGTGTGTGGAGAGAGAGAAAGAGATATAGATGACAAATCTTAATATTATGTGAGTGTGCTTGTCATTGTGCTTGTCTTTTCGCTCATTTATATATTTTATTATGAAAAATTTGAAAGTTGGGAAAAACAGCATTTGAATAAATGACTAGCTAGAAGAAAGTTAGTGAATTCCTTTTGATTCTAGTCCACCGAATACCAAATGCACAGGACCCACTATTTCTTTAATTTTTCATAACAGAATGTTTATTCACTCTTATTTAATAATAAAAGCCATCTATTTGTTGACTGTTACTCAGTTGTATGTCCTTTATACCATTTGGTTCATGACAATCCTTTAGAGAATAAGAGCCCAGACATCAGGAATCATGCCAATCCGTATATTTCCAATGCTCATACTAGAATATCAAACACAGAAAGATAAGTAATAAATAATTTAGGGAAACCTGTATATGCAGAACAGCTGCCCATTTAGTTAAGTCTTGGATCCTGAGCATCTAGACAGAAACCTTCATACCAGTCCCAAGAGAGCTGGCCACAAAAGGAAAAGTAACTAATACTGTAAGATGGAGTAAGTCTGGTTCGGTTCCCAAAAGCTTACGCTGCAACTTTCTCCAAGCCTACTTTACACAGGTAACTGAAAAGGGCATCTTACAGGCCCCAAATGGCAAGCTTAAAGTAATGAATTCTTCATTTCTTTTGACTTTCCCAGATCGTTCACTAGAATGTAGCTGAAAGAGAGCAAGGTTTTCACCATTGGTTCACACTGCTGTTTTATCCGTGCCTAAAAAGAGTACGTAGAACTGATTAGATAGCAAATAAATATCTGTTGAATGAATTAATGAGCTGTATTCCAGGAGAAGAATGATTCTTCAACTCTGGCATATATCAGAATTGCCTGGAGCACTTGCTAAAACATACATTGCTGGACCTCACTCCTAGACTTTCTAATTCAGTAGTTCTGGGGTACGACCCACGGTTATGCATTTCTAACAAGGTAGTATGCAATGCTAATGCTGCTGGCCTACGAACCACATTTTTAGAACCACTGCTATAGAAAATATCTCTCTTATCCTCCCCCTTGCTCCAGATAGGTACTGCTTCAAAAATGAACACTGTACTAGGCAGTTCTTTTGTATAAGATATTTAATACACTTCATTGTTTATTCGACAAATAATCTTCTTATGGTATTATAGAAACATTTAAGCTTGAGTTTAGATTACTCAAAATTCAGATACTTTTCCATCAATCAAGCCAAATATTTACTGTAAGTATTTTTCTCCCTGCCAGGGGAAGCTAGAATTCCATATTAGCAGCTCTGCATACTACTCTTCCAGCTCATATTTGCACATTTGGAAGAAGGCTGGGAAAACATACACTATCTCTTTGCAACACGATTGCTCTGTGAAGCATGTCTGCCCCCAGAGAAATCAGGTGCCTCATGCACTGCAGAAATTTATGTTAAAGAAAGTCTGTTTATGAGAGAAAAATGTGTAACCCAAATTTATCTCTTAGCGACAACCTCAGAATCTGAAAATTTCCAACTTCTCCCCTTGTGAGTTGCTTGAAATTGCGGTTTTTCAAGTCAAGAACACCTGTTTAGTGTTTTTCTCCTCACCCTCCCTGGTAAATGGAGCCGCTAGGAAAACAGCATCTGAAAGTTTTAATGAATGAGAAATACAAAGTATTGACAGATTTCAGCACATTATATAACCCTTACCCTGTCCCCCTAATGAGGTAAGATCAAAAAGGAAGAAAACAGTTGTGAT